GTCGAATAATTCTTCTTTTTTTTTTCATTTTCAAAAAATGTCCGCCATTACTGTCTTTTTTTACCTCCTTACTCTATTTCTCTCCGCCACTGTCTCTGCTCTCCCTGCAACTAAAACCGCCGGTTATCCCCGTCGGCACTTACTCCATCACCCTCTGTACACTGTGGTTACCTCTCCTCAAACTCAAACTCAAACTCAGGCTCCCATTCAAGCGCCATCTTCATCTCCAGCAGCTTCTCCTCATCTTCAACCCCAAACTCCACCCCAACAGCAACCCAAGTTCCCATTTTCCACAACTCCAAACACTCCACAGAAACCCTTTTTCCCATCCTACCCATCTCCGCCTCCTCCTCCGCCATCCGCCTTCCTCGCCACCTTCCCGGCCAACATCTCCTCCCTCCTGTTCCCCAATCAACATGCCTCCTCCCCTTCCCACCACCGCCGCGTCATCCTCATCGCCGTCTCCACCTCCCTCCTCTCCGCCGCTCTCCTCGTCTTCCTCCTCGTCGGCATCCTGTTCTTCAAGCACCGTCATCACCCATCCACCACCACCACGATTGACAAGTCCTCGAGGTCAGACTCCCTCCGCCTGTTTCCTCCAAATACAGCTCCCTCCGACGGGTCCCATTACCACAAACAACCGCCTCGCTACACCTCGGCGAACACCAGCTCAGAGTTTCTTTATCTGGGCACCTTAGCGAACTCGCACGGCGGAATAGACCAAGAGACTATAGCGAATTCAAGCAATGTTGGTATTAAAATCGGCGTATCTCCTGCTTCTGGGTATCAGAAACTGGGTTCTCCTGAGTTGAGACCGCTTCCGCCTTTACCAAGATACAATGTGTTCCCGCCGAATTATCAAAGTGGGGAGCAGTTTAATCCGAGTAGCGACTTGGGTGGTTGCGAAGATAAGGTAGACGATGGGGAGGATGAAGAGTTCTTTTCTCCCCGAGGATCTTCTGCACGTAAAGATAGCCCGACCCGGATTGGGACCGGGTCGAGTTCGAGGAGAGAGTTTCAGGGAATTGGTGGAGTTAATTTCGGTAGCAGAAGTTTCAATTCAAGAACTGCATCTTACCCATATTCTAATTCATGTTCTCCAGCGAATTCAATCTCAACAAATGCATCTACGAGTCCCGGGAGCTTGAAATCGAAGTCCCCAGATTCAGTCGTCAATTTCTTCAAGCCGGAAAATCAGTCTCCGGTGTCCATTTCTCCGTCTTCTTCGTCCTCAGGGCATACCCAGGACTCACGTGAAAGGATTTCGAGTTTCCCATGGCAGACCAAACAGACCCCAGGAAGAAATGAACGCGTTTCTAATCAGTTTGTACCCAAAAAGCTGCCGCCACCACCTCCACCTCCTCCTCCGCCGAAGTTTTGGGAGATTCCGGTGGCTTCAAGGACAGCAAATGAGCTGGGGCCTCCGCTTTTTGTTATGCCGTCAAAGTCGGTTGTGTTTCCGAATTCGGAGCTAAAAGAAAATGGGAGTTTGGAACAGAATGAGGAGATCCTTAAGCCAAAGCTAAAGCCTTTGCATTGGGATAAAGTCAGAGCTAGTTCTGATCGGGCAATGGTGTGGGATCAGATTAAAGCCAGCTCCTTTCAGTGAGACTTTTTC